CTGTAGCATTCGTTAAAATTGCATAATCGATGGTCGAATTATGCCTTTAACTGATCACCCTATGGTGATGGTAGATGGTGCGGTACAACTCGCAGCTAGGGCCTGCACATACCTACCAAATCCCATTGGTTGATACAAATCACGTGCCTGAAACTCCTGTTTTAATAAAACTTTTATGGTGCATTGTGACCCTAACCCTAACCCTAACACTACTTAAAATTTAATTACAAAAATTAACTACATTTGTATCAACCAATGGGAGTTGGGAGGTATGCAGGCCCTAGCTGCGAGTTGCGGTACAGAACTGCGTCATCAGCAAAGAGGCAAATTGAATAAGAAGAGTCGGTTTCGGCCAACAAATCATTTGTAAAGGATAAGAATAACAATAGACCAAGCACATAACCTTGGGTTGGGGTATAACCGATGAGACGGCTGCCACATCTGACCTGCTGCCGTTAACTTAACAGTCACAGACAATTTGGATATATATCCTTCAAAAAGCCAGAAATCCAGTTTTAATAACGCAATGGACTGGCGTACCCGTAGCCTCGATACATTAAGATACGCCTGGCGTACCCGTAGCCACTGCCTTTTAATAACGTTGTATTTGTAACAGCTAACACTAACACAGTAGCAGTACAGTAGAGTTTACACGACGAAGTGGCAGTAACACTACTTGCAATAATATTTTTAATTATGGAAATTATATAATACTTCGCTTATGAAGCTCACCATGTTTGAAGTGAGGTTGGTGGGATTTAATTCCCCATTAAACAGAAAATCTGCCATGAATATGTCTTTGATGACGTCTGCCATGATTGCTTCGAAAAGTCCTTCTACTGTAGATAGGCTCTGTGTCGATGGCTCCACGACAAGTTAAGTGTCTACATGAGCGCTAGTTCCCATCTAACAGCAAAATTCGAAAACATCAACATGGAGGATACAGACTGGGTCGCTCTCGTGTTAGTTTGTTAGCTAGAACGTTGGTTTATAAAGGAAACCAGTCTAAAATAGATACGGCTGCTTACGTGAGCGCCCTCTAGTGGGCTAGTTACTCTAAAAGCTGAAACAAAATCAATTACGCTGCACAATCGTGTTAATTTTACCTAGATTTTTACTCGCAAAAAACTTATAGGCAGCTAATAGTACTGACTATTTTGTACGCACAGTCTTTATTAGCAATGGTTTGCACCAGCTTCTTGTTTTGTTTGCTTTATTAATTTAGTTGCATTGTTAACTTTCGCGCAGTTAAAGCTCATTCTGTTTCGTGTTTTCTTGTTTCGCATTTAAAGGGCCGTGGCATTTCTGTTGTTTATTTATTCTCGTATAATTTCGAATATCACTCTAAAATTATGGATATTGAACAGTTAGAAAGACTGCACGATGCAGAGCAGAAGTTTGATAAAGCCTGTCAACAGATAATTGTCTTGGACCAGCAGATCCGTGATCTAGAGACACTATATAAGAGAGCAGTAAAGAGCAAGAAAAATGCATTTCGATACAACTTGAGATTAAAACTTTCAGTCATCACTGGTGTAAAAATGATGTACCACCACTACGCTGGAACGCAAGCAGAAGAAATCAATCGCGCCCGGCATTCGCTTGGTGGTTACTTTGAGAATAACAACGACAGTGAAAGTGATAATGCCGACGTTATTCATGAGGATCAAGATGGGGAAGAAAACTATCCGTCAACCAGCAGTGCGAGTACCAGTGCCAGCTCTAGTTCTACGCAAAGAGAACAACGCAACAGTACATCGTCTACGCGAATGGACGTAGAAGACAGTGTCGTGAATTATAGCGCTAGCGGAAGTCAGCATGAAAGTACAGCTATGACACCATCAGATGCAAGCAGTGACTCGGAAGCATCGTGATATTTTGTAAACGATTAACAGTCGATAGTTATTTCTGTTTCAGTGTTTGTGCTTAATTCTAGTTTAGCCCCCCACATTATCTTTAACGTAATGTGAACTATATATTACTGGGGTCTCAAACTAGCATTACGCATCTGTTTGTCTGTAATGCAGTATTATTAAATTGTAAATATAGATAAAAAAAATAAATACGCAAACCCTCTTGTTAGGCGTGACGACGTTCATTCTAGTCGTATTCTAAAACTTGCTTCGCTACCTGTTTGAGCTCAGAATGTCTTTAATTTGTCTTTATCTACTTTACAGTTTGTTTGATACTGGACATGATTATTATTCTCTAGCCCTGTGTGACAAGGGTCTTCTAGTCTGCCAGGTCCTGTCTACATGCAGTCTCTAGTGTAACAAACCCATTGCATTGCCATGGATTTTGAAATGTACATTGACCTGTGATCTGCAGTGGTGAATTATGTCTGCAGGTCATATAACTGAATCATGTCAGGTGTTGGGAAAATGTGCACATATCAATTAAGGGCGTGTTGGTTTGGTCGGATCCACGGATCTCGATCCACTGAACCCGATCTGGCAGCCTGCTCCTCAGCCAATCGCAGCTTGTTCTTTGTTATGAACCATCCCGTGATAGGTCACAGCAAAATGTGAACCGTTGAAAGTGAGTTTGCGTTTGTTTGGGTTAGGGTTCGATCCATGCAGTTGATTGAGATCCGTGGATCCGACCAAACAAACACGCCCCAAATCAGAGGGAAAGATTACCTAGCGTGACAGCGGTTGGAGATGGAGACCAAAAAATTCACCAGGAGATTAAGGATCCCAGTGGCTGCACTTGCTGACGATAAAAATAATCTTGTCTGACACGGGGTTAAATGGACAGATGACTATTGTATGGATTTGCTGACGGTCATTCTGCTCAATGTATTGGTCATTGTGCATTCTGCACAACTGTTGAGGTTAACCTATATTAGCTGTTATGACGAAGTTCACCACAAGGTCTTGCAGGGAGTATGCATATATAGCAAGAGTAGATAATAACACATTATCATCTACCTTTGATATATAGGTTTTCCATTTTTAGCTTGCCTGAATGAACCAAAACAACTTTCATTGTTCTGTGGTCCATGTATTAACAGAAAGCTTTGCCTCTAGAGATGTTTTATATGATAATGCTTATGTTTGCTCTAAATGTGTTACTGTTGTTCAGTGGTATTCATATATTGTTAAATCGTATTAATTGTTGTTTAAATTGACTACGTCACTAATTTTCTATGGTAAAATTTGTAAAATTTTTGTTGCCATTTTTTTTACATTAAAAGTAAGAACGAACGGGACTAAACGTATCGTCAAATTTTTACCTGATAAGATTATTTTTCAACTAGTTAAAAATCAAAAAAACCTGGATGATTTGATATTATGTTCCTGACATTAATTGCTTGCTATGGGCTTATGTATGAGTCACGAGTGTATGTTGACATCGAACAATATAGTAAAACAGGAAGTATAATGCAGCAATTTGACATTTTATTTTGCACTTATAGCAGTTATAGCACTTATGCACTTGTAGCACTTTTTTGCAGCTATAGTGCACAAATCTTGACAATTGTACATGTCTTAGTGGGATGAAATTAACGTGATCATTGTTAACACATTGTTAATGTACTTCTGGTTTCATATATAATTTTTTAATTATTCTTATATAATTAGTGAACCTTGGGCATATGTATTTTGGAAAGTACTGGTAACGTATTAATGTTTTCGGTGGTTTTCTCTGCTCTAAAGATATTATAATATGCAGCAGCAAATATAATTATGCCAAACAAAATGCTTTTTAGACGTACCAGTTTCTGTCAATTCACAAAACTAAAGATTATATGTATATATGTGTGTGCGCGTGCGTGTGTAATTTATATATATATAGGGGAGAGAGAGAGAGAGTGAGAGATGTAGTGAGTGAAAGTGAAGGTGAAGGTGAGAGTGAGCATACAGAAAGATGGAATTTCTACATAATTTCATGTTTATGCGTTTTGGTAATTATGTATCCACTTGCTTCTGCTTCTGCTTCTTGCTTTGTGATGCAATAACTCTGGTTGGAACGCCTTTATTCTGTCCGGCATTAACTCATTGCTGATAGTATGGAGACTTTAATTTAATACAATATTTAGTCGTTAGATGGCGCCAAAATATAAGCTCGCTCTTCTCTGGGAGTGTCTATATTCAAGCCGGTACGGCAGATGACGGTACGCATTATTTGCTAATATATTGACAAATCGTTCGTCAATAAACTCAATATTCACAGAGAGTATAGCTAAGACATGTGTCTATAGGTATCTGGAATATATTATGCAAATGATCTTCCGTACCGGCTTGAATTCATACTCTGTGAATATTGAGTTTATTGACGCACGATTAGTCAATATAGCAAATATAAAATTATATATGCGCGCGGAAGTGAATTACAGATGATTAAATTTCTAAATTATTCTAGATATCTATAGACACATGTCTTAGCTATACTCTCTGTAAATATTAAGTTTATTGACGCACGATTAGTCAATATATTAGCAAATATATGCGTACCGTTATCTCCCGTACCGGCTTGAATATAGACACCACGCTCTGCTCTGAGCTCGCTACGTGCAAGGAGCAGCTATGGTTCATGGTTCTGTCACTGACCTGTATAATGATAACATCAGGAGTGAATAATAATAGATTATTATTATTATCTATTATTATCCACTCCTGATAACATATTATCAAGAATACCATGATAGAAAAATGTTCCATGATGGTACTCTTGATAGTATTATAATAATATGCCATATGTACAGCTCATTGTATTATTATTATCAGGAGCTAATAATTACAAATTGTCATTTGACAATAATTTGACATTGACATAATGACAATTTGTCATTATTAGCTCCTGTTATTATTCATAGCTTCCCTCCATGTTATGCAATCAACATAAGTATTGATGTTATTATATAAATAACCAGTTTTCTTTTCTTATAAGTTTTTTTTTATAAAAACAATATTGTAATAACGGCTCTGAACACCAATGTTTATTGATGTTGAGGAAGTCTCACTAATATAGTGTATATCTCATAATAAGTAGTCATAATAATAGTAATACACTCATAACAATGCTTGGCTACTGGTGACACGCGCTTTTATGGCAGACTGGGAAAGCGGATATATGCATTATAATATAATAATTATAATATATATATATATATATAATATATATACATATATATATACATCTATGACTGCCCAACATTCATAACATAAGATAGTTACAAGATGCCTATAATGGTCGCGTGTAAGGCTGGTGTCGTCATTTTTTATGAATGCAGTGAGCATTTTATGTAATGGGGTGGAGCGACGGCGCGGCCAGCAACCATCTTTGTCGATCGCTCATGTCTCGAAGATGCAGGAATTTGAAAAATCATTATGTTCAACGAAGCGTTTTTATGCAGAATCCCGGCCATGTATCTCTCTCTATTCAGTATGATAATATCAGGAGTGAATAATAATGGATAATAGTCTATTATTATTCACTCCCGTAAACATACACAAATTTCAAATTAGAACATAGAATTCATTGGTTAAATATAAGTGGCTGAGAAGGGCAGGTTTCACTAAAATAGATGAATCGAAATTCAGCTTACCCAACTGCAGATGATATATTACCTGTGGTTTATATTTTTCCCCAAATGTCATTTGCGCTTGATAATATCCAACAATCTTTCTTTACATAGCCCAACCACCCATCGACTATACATATACTAATGAACTAATATAATAAGATTATAATTATAATGTAAAGTAATGAGTTATATATAACGTAGTTAATTGCCCCACCCTAAGAGTCCCGACTACAAGTAACTCTCTCTTTCTCTCGCTCTCTGTCTCGCTGTCTTTCTTTCTCTCTCTCTTTCTCTTTCTCTCTCATATATATATATATATATATATATATATATATATATATATAAGGCCTGGGGTATAATGGTATTAATGGAATGGTATGTATGTATGTATTACTGTATGTATGTATGTAATCGTATGTAAATGGTATCGTAATGTTATTATGTAATTTATGTAATGTATGTATTATGTTTGGTAGTATTATGTATGTATGTATGTATGTATGTTGTGATGTATGTGATGTATGTCATGTATTAGTATGTATGGTATGTATGCTATGTTATGTTATGGTTATGCTATCGTATACCTGTATGTATGTAATGCATCCATGTATGTATGTCGCCGGTTAGGCTGGCCCGGACAAGCGGCAGTGTAGGTATACCTATTTTCAGCAAAGCCGCAAGTCCATAAATTTATCCGGGCGCACATTACAAAGCCTCGATGAAAAAAAAGTTCGGGCCGGGCTAAGTAAAGAAGCGTATTAAGAAGCTTGTGCGGGGCCCAATTGCGGGGCGAAAATATCGATTTGTAGTGGCGGTGCGTGGCGGTGCGTGCGTGCGTGTGCGTGCGCCGTGTCGTGCGTGCGGCGCGATCGTGGTGTATTGTGTATGTGGCGCTGTTGTGTGTGTGCGCGCGCGGACGCGTGTTGTGTGTGCGTTTTCCTTTTTTGGCGCTCTGTCTTTTGTTTTGCTGTTTTTTTTTTTTTTGTCTCTCGTTTTTAGTTTTTTTTTCTTGTTTTTGTTTTTTTCTCGTTCTTGTCGTCTGTCTTCTTTCGTTTGTGTTGTCTTTTTTTTTGTTTCTTTTTTTTTTGTTTTTTTTTTCTTTGTTTTTTTGGTGGTGTGTTTTTTTTTTTTTTTTTTTGCGGGGGGTGTGTTGCGCACGCGCGGGCGTGCCGTCCCCGGTGTGGCTGTTGTGTGTGGTGTGTGTGTGTGCGCGCGCCGCGTGTGTGTATGTGTAAAATTAATTAAGCGCAACTCTTCATATAACGTCCCGTCTTCCTCCTCCTCCTCCTCCTCTTTCCTCCTCCTTCTTCCTCCTCTTCCTCCTCCTCCTCCTTCCTCCTTCTCCTCCTCTCTCCTCTCCTCCTCCTCCTCCTCCTCCTCTTCTTCTTTCTCCTCATTATCACCGTCAGTAACAGCGACATTATTAGGTGCATCTTGTCTCTTGTCGAGACCTCGATTACACGCGTCCTTCTCTTTAAGATTTATAACGGTTCGCGGGCATAATATACGTTTATGTATGTGCAGCAGACATATACACCAGCGCGGCCCCACAACACACACACACACACACACACACACACACACACACACACACACACACACACACACACACACACAACACACACACATACCACACACACACACACACACACGAACACACACACACACCACACACACACACCACACACACACACACACACACACACACACACACACAATACCAGCACACACGCACACACACTACAAGCGGCGCGTGCACGCTCAGACATGTACGCGCGCACACGCGCGCACGCACACCTATGACGGACCACAATAGTGTAGATCTAATACACTGAGTCACTGAATTCTGAACATTCGAATTACGATCAGTTCTCCATTATTTATTTAACGTAGACGAACGTGATCTACGAACTGCGCCATCCGCACTCACGAACCAAAACCTGCGGTTATTTTTATGGATTTACGAACAATAAACTTGCGAACGATATTTTGTAGCCAATAACCTTTGTAACGCGAGTATTCTCCGTCTGTGCGGGTTTTAGGCACTACAAAAGGTAGCAGATCCAAGTCTATACGGCCTACTGTATAACAGCGCTTCTATTGATGAGCGATTGCTTTCAATATTTGAAAGAGCCTCCGGTGTATCAGGCAAATTGAGTTAATAACGGCTCCTATATATAGTCATTCTGTGTAATGTGTAGTACATTTTATATGTCTTACATGAAAAACAGGCTCAACATGACTTTAACTAAAAGAAAACTTAAATACTTCCACAAATAAAGGTCGTCAATGAATAAAAAAACTTATATAATACATATTATATAAAAAATAAATGGTTTTGTTGCTGGTGCGGATGCATTGGCTCACCGAGCCTGGTAACAGGTAATGGACGCTCCGATAAATACCCATATTTGTCATATATCTATATGAATACATACTTTGTTGACTCATGTCCAGAGAAAAGGAAGCACACACAGCTCTATATATACGTAATCATCTCTCTCTGTATATATATATATATATATATATATATATATATATATAATTATGTCTCTCTCTCCATTTATGTATAATG